CTCTACATCGACAGTCACATCTCAGTAATTTTCATTAAAAGTGAAGGGTGTACCCACGTCCTGGAAACCTTCGAAGAGAACAGACGTAATTTGTCACTTGCAATAAAAGACAGAAATTTCCCGAAATGTCAAAGATTTTATTTTCGCTTCAGCTTTTGTCAGTCCTGGATTATGTTCTTTCTCGGCTGGCACGCTATGACGAAGGCAATCCCATTGGTGCTATCCTTTCAATTGCAGTAAGTCTTCGTCTTCTAAGATTTCCAGTGAAAAACATTTTTTATTTTGTACTTTTTCTAGTAATGAGTTGATTATCTGCTCGGAGTTCCTTTTCTTGACCACATTCCAACGCCACCGTTGCGTCACATGGACAGTCATTTCTTGATCATCTTGACAAACAGGCCATAATCTTGCTAAAAATTTATATGATCACGTCAACAGTTAGAGTCTGTATCAAACAAGCTATGTGCAGGATAGTATCGCGACTACACTGGAGAGTAAAATTTGTTAAACGGGCTCTGCTGCTGGCCTAGCTGACAGCCGATGATCGCTGCGCATGAGTGGAAATCGCGCGAAATTAAGCCGCTGTTTAGACAGCCTCCGGAGAGGTGGCACGTATGCATCGGATATATAGCAGGTACTTACTGGAAGTATGCGAAACAGAACTGGAGGGCCTGCTTCGACATGTGGGAATAACTCAGTAACGATCACTAGCACGGGATCCCCACACTAATCATCCATGCGTTGTTAGTGTTCTGTTATGTAACTTGAGCTCATTTATTAATTATAGCCAAAACCAACAACAATTTTTAACAAAATGAAGAACATTGTGAGCGATCAAGGGATTGTTGGCAACTTAACAGGCAGCGCTGCTCTTCTCCGCAAAATCCGGTACATTTTTGAATATGTATTACAAAGATACGGCGCTTTACATAACAGTTACGATATTCAGGAATTATAGTCACACAGAGCAACCTTTCCTAGAATTTCGAGTGATTTCACAGCCACTTCTTCATCTTTAAACTATTCATTCGACAGGTTCCAGGCTACATCTTTGTTTTCTAATTTGCGCATTTTTCATTCCCCTCAGCGCACTAAATTATTTGACATACGAATGAGCACACTAACGCAGGAGACAATTCGAGGTCCCTTTTCATAAAAACGGAGCAAATTCCGAATACATATATTGTACATATTTTCTCGTGCAGTTCTGCCTCATGTTCATGAATTTTGTACTGTATAAGAAGTACCGTTTCGGCTCATATATTAAAATATATGTATTCAGAATTTTCTGTGAATTTCAGCTCATGTCGCTGAGGCTTTTTCGCGACCATTGGTTATCACTGCGCAATCTGCACCAAAATTAAAGCTATTGTGGCAATTGCTGTTTTTATATTTTTACCCTAGTTGGGTCGCACTGCAGGCCTTTCTTCCAACGATATTCTACAATCTAGGATGCAAACGAAAAAACACTTAAAATCTTAAAATTTTCTAGGAATGCATATAAATGTAATATTCTCTATTGTTTTATCATTTTTTTCCAGAAGCCCGTTGTAAATCAGGGTCAAAATTCGGGCC